CAGCAGTGGAATTGCTGGGTCAAATGGCATTCCTATTTCCAACTTTTTGAGAAAGCACCACACCACCTTCCACACTGGTTGCACCATTTTACACTCCCACCAACAGTGAATAAGGGTTCCAGTTTCTCCACAACCTCACCAGCATTTGTTGCTTGCTGTTCTATTAAATTTTTTCCTTCGGGCTTTGTGGCCTCAAGCCACTGTTCAGGTGGCAGAAACTCAGTCTATCTCACTCCGGTTTCCCCAGAGGCAAGGCACATGAAGCTAACTGTCAAGAAAGCACACCATTAAGGTGTTGAATATCTATTAGGAATACTCCCCCTGGTGTCATTCCTCACTCACGGTGACTCTACAGGACAGAGCAAAACTGGCCTGGAGTATCCATGGTGATGAATCTTCAGGACAGCAGATCACCTCATTTTTCTCCCACAGAACAGTTACTGAGTTCGAACTGCTCACTTTTCAGTTGGCAGCTCAATAGTTAGCTCACTGAGCCACTAGGGCCCTCTACTGAGGCTAAAACTCTGCAAGGATTTTTAGAAGAGTTGATGTCAGACCCAGAGCTAAACCTCAATATTAGAAATGCTGGTTTATAGGTAGGATAAGTGAATGCTCCTATATTTCATGAAAACATGGACACTGTTCTAAGCACAACAACTAGATCAGAAGTCAAGTAAAAGAATAAGCTCTGGTGCAACCTCTGAGATGAGCAAGGGGCCACCATGATGCCCTCGTGTCCATGAAGCAGATGGGGGGAGGGAGGAGTGAGAAGAGAAAAATTCCCTGGGAATTGAAAAGCTGCTTCCCTTCTGCTTAGACTTGGCTGGTTTACTAGGGGACAGCTGGCCCCGGGAGTCACCACATCCGTGCGTCACACCCGTTCCATGTTACAGAAATGTGCCACCTAACAGTTCTGCCAAATTCCAGTTTACATTTCAGCCTGCACAGAACCCCTCTGGAAGCATCAACAAAGGCAAACCATCTGCAGAAGGAGGGCATAGGGTGACAGCAAGAAAATGTGGTCCCAGCATGGCAGGCAGGCAGAAACCATCGCCCCAGGAAGGTCATCAGCTTTTAACCAGATGCTAGATATATGCTTTTAACAGAGCTCATCACCCAGAATGAGTCTGAGGGCGATGGTGAGGCAGACTCACAACTGCATCATTTAAAGATGCGAAACCACATCATCTGCACTTCACTCCTTCATGTCGGTCAGTTCAGTAAACGCATCGTGAGCACCTCATGAGTGGCAGACACTGGGTACAGCTCATGAACCCTTTTCTCAAAGAGCTCAGGCTAGGGAGAAAGAGATGAGTACAAATGAGAGAAAGAGGTACAATGTGACGAGGGCTGGACAAGAAGTCTCGAGCACTTCAAGAACAAGAGGCCAGGTTCTCCTACGCAGAGCAGTCCTTTGGTCAAGATAGTAATTCAAGTAGTTGTCTTATTTTTAGATAATCTGTTATATTTGAGTCTCCCTCACTGTATAGTCAATACCCTGAGGACAGGGGTCACATTTTTGCATACCCTCAGTATCTTCCTGTATAAGACCCATTAAGCCAGAAATGGGCCTAAAATTTTATCTAGAAATTGTTTTCATGGGGATGGGGGAGGCTTTCTTTAGCCCATGTTTTTAGGCACAAACATTCTTTGCCTTTCTCTGTTTTATTCATTGAGGAGAAATATCGGCAAGGAAGAGACACAGTATTCTTGACTGTTGGGCTTAGAGGAGCCCAGCATGTGCTGCCACTTCTTCCTAACTCATCAATGCCCACAGCAAACAGCACTGTGGTTTCCTCCAACGTGGTGTCACTGCGCTGGGTCTCCAAGGGCTGTCCCCCGGCGGAAAAGTCTGATTCTAAGCAAGCACACTGCACGCACACACACAGAAGTCACAACAACCAAGTCGGCTTTACTCAAACAACAAATCTATTTTTTTTTTCTATATCTGCTTATCTGGTCTATCCCTCAAAACCAGTTGCTATCAAGTTAATTCTGACTCAGAGTAGCCTATTTCCCAACTTGTTCTAAATCAATCAATCAATCAAGCAAGCAATCAATCTCTTTCTATTTCTCTCTCTGTAATTTGCTGTTACTGATTGGACCCTGTCAGATCCCAGGAGGACCCCTGGTAGCACAGCTTGGCTGCTAAACAAAGCCAGTGGTTTGAGCTGTCCAGTCACTCTGTGGGAAAAGATGTGGCAGCCTGCTTCTAAAATTATTTACAGCCTTAGACACTCTACGAGACAGGTCAACCCCATGTACTGGAATCAGCTCAGTGGCAAAGGGTTTGGGTCAGATCCCAGAAAAGCTGGAAGAAAGAGAGAACAGGCCATACCCTTAAC